CATGTGAGTGAAATTGATGGTTTTCCTCACGCGGGCGTCGGTGTTACACGTGTCACCCCCGTATTGTTTCACACTGTCGGCCCCCTTTTTGACCCCCAGAATACGAGTGGAACGTTGTTTTTTTAGCGCACTGTTTTTGGGGTCACGCGTGTCACCCTGTTTGGTTTCACCCTGTATGGCCCCATGTTGAGGCCCAAAAGAGGACTGATATCATTAATTAGCGTTTCTCACAATAAGGCTTTCGGGTGACACGTGTCACCTTTATGTTGTTTTGCGGTGTATGTCCCCATGTTGACGCCCAGAATACGGGTCAATAGTTTTTTTCTTCAGACGGTTTTCGGGGTGACATGTGTCACCCCCGTACTGTTTCACATTGTCTGTCCTTGTGATGACGTTCAGAATGCGTGTGAGACATGTTTTTTTACGCGGTGTTCGGGGCGACGCGTGTCACCATTGCGTTGTTTCACGCTGTCTGGCCCCACGCTGACGCCGAAAATACGAATGCAACACCTTGTTGTTCTCGTTGTTCTCGGGGTGACCCGTGTCACCTTCCTGCGGTTGGTTCGCATTGTATGTTCCCATGTTGGCGCCCCGAATGCTCGTGAAACGATCGGTTTTTTTCGCACAGGTTTCGGGGTGACACGTATCACCCATTGTCTTGTTCCACATTGTCCATTCCCGCGTTCACGCCCAGACCACGGGTGAAACACGGGTTTGTTTTTCTCAAGCGGCTTTCCGGGTGGCACGTGTCCCTCTTGTGTTGTTTCACGCGGTGTGGCCTTGTGGCGGCGCCCAGGATACGGGTGAAACCATTGGTTTTCTCGCACGGTTTTCGGGATGGCGCGTGTCACTCTTGTGCTCTGCCGCGCTGTATTTTCCATGTTGACGCTAAGAATGCGACTTAACAGTTGGTTGTTCTCACGCGGTTTCACTCTCGTGATGTTTCACACTGTATGTTCCCATGTTGACGTCCAGGGTACGAGTGGGACACTGGGTGTTTTCTCACGTGGTGTTCGGGGTGGCGCGTGTCAGCGTCGTGTTGTTTCGCGCTGTATGGTCCCCACGCCGACGCCCAACAGTTGGTTTTTCTTCTCGCGCACTGTTCGGGACGGCACGTGTCACCCCTAACGACATGGCATCATTACAGCGCCCAGATCCCGAATGAAATGATTCGTTTTTGATTCACGGTTTTCGGGGTGACACGTGTCTCTCTCGTGTTGTTTCGCCCTGTATGGCCCCGTGTTGGCGTGGCGCCCAGAATACGAATGAACCGATCGGTTGTTCTCACACGGCTTTCGAAGTGACGCGTGTCACCTTGTGTTTCGTGAACATTGTATGTTCCCATGTCGGCGCCCAGAATACGTGTGAAACATTTTTCTCACACGGTTCAGGGGGTTACACGTGTCAGCTTTGCGTTTTTGTTCGCGCTGTATGTTCCCCCGTCGACGCCCGTAGTATGGGTGAAACAAGTGCGGTTTTCGGGGTGGGACTTGTGACCCTTGTGTTGTTTCGCACTGTACGTTCCCATGTCAACGCCCAGAACGCGGGTGAAACAATGTGTTTGTCTCACATGGTTTTCGGTGTGACGCGCTTTACCCATTGTGTTGTTTCCATTGTATGGTCCCATGATGTCGGCACGAGTGGTTCATTTGTTTCTTCTCACACGGTTTTCGGGGTGACACGTGCCACCTTGGTGTTCATCCGCACTAAATGTTCCCATGCCGGCGCCCAGACTATGAGTGAGCCATGTTTTCTCACACGGTTTTCGGGGTGATACGTGCCACCTTTGTGTTTGTTCGCGCTGAACGTTGCCATGCCGACGCCCGGAATGCGAGTGAAGCATGTTTTCTTTCGGACGGTTTTCGGGATTACGCGTGTCATCCCCGTGACGTTGAGGTAGGTGCCGCACATAGCTGCCCTTGAGGGTCGAAGCCGTATGAAGCCGTGCCTTCAGGGACGCGCGCATTCTTTGTGGGCCAGGCGCCAATTCGGCAAGGACGGGGTTGCATCAGGGCGCACTTGCATCCTTTGGTTTTCGGCCGCGCCCCGCTGGAAAAAAACGCCAAGTAGCTCCCCAAGGCTCTTGCATCCTGATTCGTTCCAATCTCACTTCAGATTCACAGAATTTTGTCGGATTTGGTCCGCGCCGCAGCTTGAATCAGATTACAACGTTTTCCCGATTGAAAGTTATATTGCGCGACAGATTGAGGTGCCCGCCAGATTGGCTCGTGATGGCAGCCAGATTGCGTGTTGTACCAGATTGCCAGATTGGACTCTTCATCAGATTGTCCAGTGTGGTACTCAGGCCAGTCTTCCAGATTAGAATGTTCGCCGAATTCGGCGCTTTCCTCCCCAAGGGGTGCGCCACAATCTTCGTTTCGGCAGGCCGCCCGATTGGCCAATGCGCCAGATTGTCTTCCACATTGTATATATTCATACATATATATATACATATATATATATACACACATATATATATATATATATGTGATGTTGGGGCGAGTTGCCATATTGATCAACTTGGATTCTTTGTTCGGCGGATGGGATCATACTGACTCCCTTGCCACATTGTTCAAATTGACGTGCCAGATTGACGGCGTACTGTTTTTTGATTAGCCATGCGTAATTCTCCCACACGCGAAAGCAGTAATCACTTACACCGACATACATGTATACACAACTACGTTCAGATATATACATGTATATATATGTTCAACGCGTAATAAGCATATGATATTGATTATACACTTGTCGCCCAGAGCACCAGTCAGACAATTCTACACTATACGTTGTCATGTGGAATGTCTGGGAAGCCCCATGGGACAGGGCCATTGTACCCCCAGTCCTCATATATACACACAAACCTAACGACCACCCTTGGGGTTATAAGGAGGTTGGTGGGGGGGAGGACCAACTGACGACAACCGCGATGGCGGTTATGATGACGAGGCCGTGGCCAGCGATGCTGACATTGGGAACCATTTGGCGCATCGTTTTTTTTTTGGGGGGTGCGACCCCCTACCCAAACCCCACGATGGGCACCATTAGGGCACCATCGAAACACCACCTTGACACCCTCAGGACACCCATCGCGATACCAATCGGGACACCATTGGAAAACCACTCGCGGCACCTGTCGCGATACCGTTGGACACCACCGAAACACCATCGAAACACCAGCAGGACACCATCAGCACACCAATCGGGACACCAAGCGGGACACTAATCGGGGCACCAGTCAGGAGACCATCAGGTCACCATCGATATTATTATTGATCGAACCATCGATATCATTATCGATATCGCGCTCGGTCTCACTCGATCGATGACACCATCGTTCTCGCTCGATCGGTACCACTTTTGATTTCATTTTATACTTCACTTCTGGCTACCATCGGCGCACCATCGGGGCACCAATCCATCTCATTTTCGATTCCCCTATCGATATCATTCGCTCGATCGCAATATCAGTCTCAGTAGATCTATTTCACTATCGATCTCACTATCGGTTTTACTACCGATCTCACGATCGGTCGCACGATCGGTACCACCATCGATCCCACCTTCGATGTCACCACCGGACACCACAGGACACCGACGGGACACCCCCGGGATAACGACGGGACACCGCGGGACACAGACGGGACACCGACGGAACACCGACGGGACACCACTGGACACCATCGGGACACTATCGTGCCACCAATCGATCCCAGTTTCGACCTCATGATCGATCACCATCGGTCTTAGTTTGGATCCCATTCTCACGATCTCACCATAAATCTCCCTACCCACCTCACTATCGATTTCACTATCACCCCACCACGGGACACCGACGGAACACCGACGGGACACCGACGGGACACCAACGGGACACCGACGGGACACCGACGGGACACTAACGGGACACCGAGGGGACACCAACGGGACACCAACAGGACACCGACGGGACACCGACGGGACAGCGACGGGACACCGATGGGACATTGACGGGACACCAACGGGACACCACGGCGGGACAACCCGGCCACCGCCCGCCCACCGCTTTGGGGGGGGGGGGGCGGACAGCGACGGGACACTACGGCGGGACAACCCGGCCAGCGCCCGCCCACCTGGGAAGGAGGAGGGGCTGTGAACGGCTCTTGGCCCACCTTAACCACAGCGGGATCATTCCTCTCGCCCGCCCACGCAGCTTCGCCTCGCCCGCACGCGCGACACGAAACCGAAACCGATTACCGGTGGGGAGTTCTCCGTTCCACTTCGATCTGACCCCCCAGCCGCCGATATCTATATGTGTATATGCATACATGTATATATGTGTGTATGTATATGTGTATGTATTTGCATATACACATACGACCACCCTTCGGGGGATAAGCAATTGGCGACAACTGCGGTGACTGTGATGATGACGATGCTTGTGGTGTGCCCTCGAGTTGCCGACGACGCGTGATGACCATTCTGCGTCGCGATGTGGTCCCACTATCGATCCCAGTCGATCGGCGGCCTCACCTTCGAGACACCGCGGGACACCGACGGGACCCCGACCGAAGGGACACCGACGGGACACCGCAGACACCGACGGGACACCGACGGGACACCACGGGACACCAGGGGCACACCATCGGAACACCAATCGATCTCACTTTTGACTTCCCTATCGATCTCATTTGCTCGACCTCCTTACCGATCTCACGCGATCAATCTCAGTATCGATTTCACTTCTGCTTTCACCACCGATCCCACTACCGATCCCATTATATGTCTCACTATCGATCTCACCATCGATCTCACCACGGGGCACCGACGGAACACCAACGGGACACCGACGGGACACCACGGGACACCGCGGGACACCATCGGAACACCAATCGATCAAAGTTTCGATGTCATGATCGATTCCATACGTTCTACTATTATGGATCCCACTCGAGTGATCTCACAATCGACTTCACGACCCGCCTCATTATCGATCTCACGATTTATCGATCCCACCACAGGACACCGACGGGATACCAGGCCCAGCTGAAGGCGGAGGAGGGCTGCGATCCAGTCAAGAAAACCATATCGAAGCGCTCGGGCGGTGAGATCGCCTGCTCCATCATCCCGTGCACGAGCGCCGCGCAGCGGACCTGCCAGACCAAGACAGCAAGGAGGGCGTCGCCCCGCACCCCACGGACCGGCACAGTAAGGGCACGGCGGCGGCGACGGTCGGCGAGACGCTGGCGCTGGGCGCCAGGCCCACCGACGTGCTGCACGACTTCGAGGTGCAGGGGAGGGAGAGGTACAGATACCGCTGCCCTTCCCTCGTTTTCGCGTTTTGGGGCCTCCCGGGAGGCCCTCGTCGCAACGGCTGGGATCGTTTCGACATTTGTGTCAGAACGTGCCGCGGGAGATGTCTGAGGAGCGGGCATGAGGAAAACCGGCCGTAACTGGACGGAGCTGCCGATCACACCCAGACTTGCCAGCGTCTTGAGCAAGATCAGGACGGGAGGTTTTTTGGGAGTTTTCGGCCTTGGGGGGTCCTCGCCGGGCCTTGGGGCCGCGAAAACGTCGCTAGGGCGCAGTATCCCCAAACAACATGTTTAGAACGCATGGTGATGCCAATCGCGTTCGCTAGTCCACCCCGCGCGGGAAAGCGCTGCGCTGTATCATTGAAGGGGCTATACCAGGTTGCGCGCCACATCGTTCGCAATGCCCGCGCGGGGTTCTGCGGTTTTCCTCACGCGGGCGTCGGTGTTACACGTGTCACCCCGATGTTGTTTCACACTGTCGGTCCCCATCTTGGCCCCCAGATTACGATTGGAACGTTGTTTTTGTTCGCACACGGTTTTTTTGGGTCACGCGTGTCACGCTGCTTGGTTCCACCTTGTATGGTCCCATCTTGAGGCCCAAAAGAGGAGTGATATCATTAATGTGCGTTTCTCACAACAAGGTTTGCGGGTGACACGTGTTACGTTTATGTTGTTCTGCGCTGTCTGTCCCCATGTTGACGTCCAGAATACGGGCCAATGTTTTTTTTCTTCAGACGGTTTTCGGGGCGACACGCGTCACCCCCGTATTGTTTCACATTGTCTGTCCCTGTGATGACGTTCAGAATGCGTGTGAGACACGTTTTTTGTCTTACGCGGTGTTCGGGGTGACGCGTGTCGCCATTGCGTTGTTTCACGCTGTCTGGCCCCACGTTGACGCCCAAAGTACGAATGCAACAAGTCGTTGTCCTCGTTGTTTTCGGGGTGACCCGTATGGTCCCCACGCCGACGCCCAACAATTGGTTATTCTTCTCGCGCATTGTTCGGGACGGCACGTGTCACCCCTAACGACATGGCATCACTACAGCGCCCAGGTCCCGAATGAAATGAGTCGTGTTTTTATTGCACGGTTTTCGAGGTGACACGTGTCTCTCTCGTGTTGTTTCACGTTGTATGGCCCCATCTTGGTGTGGCGCCCAGAAAACGAATGAACCGATCGGTTGTTCTCACACGGCTTTCGAAGTGACGCGTGTCACATTGTGTTTCGTGAACGCTGTATGTTCCCATGTCGGCGCCCAGAATACTTGCGAAAGATTTTTCCCACACGGTTCAAGGGGTGACACGTGTCACCATTGCGTTTTTGTTCGCGTTGTATGTTCCCCCGTCGACGCCCGTAGTATGGGTGAAATAATTGCGGTTTTCGGGGTAGGGTTTGTGACTCTTGTGGTGTTTCACACTGTACGTTCCCATGTCAACGCCCAGAACGCGGGTGAAACAATGTGTTCTTCTCACATGGTTTTCGGTGTGACGCGCTTCACCCATTGTGTTGTTTCCACTGTATGGTCCCATGATGTCGGCACGAGTGGTTCATTTGTTTTTTTTGCCACACGGTTTTCAGGGTGACACGTGCCACCTTGGTGCTCATCCGCACTACATGTTCCCATGCCGGCGCCCAGACTATGAGTGAGCCATGTTTTTTTTTTCACTTTTCGGGGCGACGCGTGCCACTTTTGTGTTTGTTCGCGCTGAACGTTGCCATGCCGACGCCCGGAATGCGAGTGAAACATGTTTTCTCTCGCACGGTTTCCGGGGTGACGCGTGTCATCCCCCTGACGTTGAGGTAGGTGCTGTCCATGCTTGTCCTTGAGGGTCGAAGCCGTGTATTCAGGGACGCGCGCATTCTTTGTGGCCCGGGCGCCAATTCGGCAAGGACGGGGTTGCATCAGGGCGCACTTGCATCCTTTGGTTTTCGGCCGCGCCCCGCTGGAAAGAGAACGTCAAGTAGTTCCCCAAGGCTCTTGCATCCTTATTCATTCCAATCTCTTCGGATTCACAGAATCTTGTCGAATGTGGCCCGCACAGCAGCTTGAATCATATTACAACGTTTCCCCGATTGAAAGTTAGATTGCGCGACAGGTTGAGGTACCCGCCACATTGGCTCGTGATGGCAGCCGGATTGCGTGTTGTACCAGATTACCTCTTCATCAGATTGTCCAGTGTGGTATTCGGGCCAGTCATCCACATTAGAATGTCGGCCAGATTCGGCGCTTTCCTCCGCAAGGGTTGCGCCATAATCTTCGTTTCGGCAGGCCGCCCGATTGGCCAATACGCCAGATTGTCTTCCGCATTGTGTATATATGGATATGATGTTGGGGCCAGTTGCCATATTGATCAACTTGGACTCTCTGTTCGGCGGATGGGATCAGATTGACTCTTTTGCCAGATTGTTCAATTGGACATGCCAGATTGGCGCCATAGTGTTTTTTTTTTTTGATTAGCCATGCGTAAGTCTCGTACGCGCGAAAGCCGTAATTAGTTACACCGACATATACGAATACACAAAAAATGTTCGTACATAAATACACACACATACATACATACATACATACGTACATACATTCATACATACATACATATATGTATATGTATACATGTATATATGTATATACATATATATATATATATATATATATATATATATATATATATATATATATTCAACGCGTAATAATCATATGTACTTAATTAGACACTTGTCGCCCAGAGAACCAGCCAGACAATTGTACACTATTTGTTGGCTTGTGGAATGTTTGAAAAGCCCCATGGGACAGGGCCCTTGCACCCCAGTCCTCATATCTCTCTCTGTCTCTCTCTCTCTCTATATATATATACACACACCTCGATCACCCTTGGGGTGATAAGGAGGTTGGTGGGGGGAGAACCAACTGACGACAACCGCGATGGCGGTTATGATGACGACGCCGTGGCCAGCGATGCTGACATTGGAAACCATTTGGCGCATCGTTTTTTGGGTTGCGAATTCGATCCCAAACCCCACGATGGGCACCGTTAGGACACCATCAACACTACCTGGACGCCCGCAGGACACCCATCGCGATACCAATCGGGACACCATTGGAAAACCACTCGCGGTACCTATCGCGATACCGTTGGACACCACCGAGACAAACATCGAAACACCACCAGGACACCATCAGCACACCAGGCGGGACACGAATCGGGGCACCAATCAGGAGACCATCAGGTAACCATCGACATGATTATTGATTGAACCATCGATATCATTATCGATATCGCTATCGGTCTCATTCGATCGATGCCACCATCGTTCTCGCTCGATCGATACTTTTGATTGCGAAGGCCTGACGGCCGGTGCCGCCGACCCTGTTCGCAATGCGCAGCAAGAGGCGCGGGCTGTGGGATGGTTTTGGGGAACGGGGAGAAGGACGAGAAGGTGGGGGAGGGAGGTGTCGTATCTGACCCGGGACTTCCCCGGGACTCCCCCGGGACCCCCCCCGGGACCCCCTCTCCCCCCCCCGGCGGGGAAGGGAAAGGGAAGGGGCTTCCCTTCGACTCAATTACGACGTTGCTCAAGGTCGGTACGGGGGGGGGGCGTCGTATCTGACCTGGGGGGGGGGTCGCTACCGCCCCCCGCTACCCCCCCCTCGCCTCCCGGCGGGGGAGGGATCAAAGGGAAGGGGCTTCCCTTCGACTCAATTACGAGGTTGCTCAAGGTCGGCTTGGCTGGAGCCCAGGGGAAGAGGAGTCCCAGGGGGGGGCGTCGTATCTGACCCGGGGGGGGGGTCGCTACCCCCCCCCCCTCCCGGCGGGGGAGGGATCAAAGGGAAGGGGCTTCCCTTCGACTCAATTACGAGGTTGCTCAAGGTCGGCTTGGCTGGAGCCCAGGGGAAGAGGAGTCCCAGGGGGGGGCGTCGTATCTGACCCGGGGGGGGGGTCGCTACCCCCCCCCCCCCCCCCTCCCGGCGGGGGAGGGATCAAAGGGAAGGGGCTTCCCTTCGACTCAATTACGAGGTTGCTCAAGGTCGGCTTGGCTGGAGCCCAGGGGAAGAGGAGTCCCAGGGGGGGGCGTCGTATCTGACCCGGGGGGGGGGTCGCTACCCCCCCCCCCCTCCCGGCGGGGGAGGGATCAAAGGGAAGGGGCTTCCCTTCGACTCAATTACGAGGTTGCTCAAGGTCGGCTTGGCTGGAGCCCAGGGGAAGAGGAGTCCCAGGGGGGGCGTCGTATCTGACCCGGGGGGGTCGGTACCCCCCCCCCTACCCCCCCCCCCCTCCCGGCGGGGGAGGGATCAAAGGGAAGGGGCTTCCCTTCGACTCAATTACGAGGTTGCTCAAGGTCGGCTTGGCTGGAGCCCAGGGGAAGAGGAGTCCCACGGACAGGGACGGACAGAGACGACGAGTACAAAGAATGACGGAGATGACGGCTCGAACGGAAAAGCCCCTCACACACGCCGACAGGGTCGGCGGATTTCATTTTATATGTCACTAATGGCTACCATCGGGGCACCAATCCATCTCATTCTCGATTCCCCTACCGATCTCATTCGCTCGATCGCAATATCAATTTCACTGGACCTATCTCACTATCGATCTCACTATCGGTTTCACTACCGATCTCACGATCGGTCTCACGATCGGTTTCACGATCGGTCCCACTTTCGATCCCACCACCGGACACCGCAGGACACCGACGGGACACCCTCGGGACAACGACGGGGCACCGCGGGACACCGACGGGACACCGACGGGCCACCGACGGGACACCACGGGACACCAGGGGCACACCATCGGAACACCAATCGATCTCAGTTTCGATCTCACGATCGATCATCATCGGTCTTAATATGGATCCCATTCGCACGATCTCGCTATAGAGCACCCTGCCCACCCCACTATCGATTTCACTATCGGTCCCACCACGGGACACCGACGGAACACCGACGGGACACCGATGGGACACCAACGGGACACCGACG